GAAAACATGGGACAATTTACCAGGGGGTATTAGACTGTCAGAAGTTCCCCAGTGGGTTATCACATACCCCTAGGAGATAAGACCCTGTTTCCAGAGGGCAAGTCCTGGCCACAAAGGGCAAGGAGGGCATTGGGTGGGGAGTGGGGTGGGCAGAAAGCTTCTCTGGTCACATGCCAGTGAGGATGCTTTCATCTGATCCTGCAACATCGTGTGATTCCTCTTTAGAAAGATCTCTCAGGGATGGAGGGGACTGGAGAGAACTGAGGAAGATGGAGGGGGAGAAGGGAGGAGAGATGCTAGGGGGTGGAAGGGTGAGGAAGGGAGGGCAGAGAATAGCTGCTAGCAGTACTCAAGGGACCATGCGGTTCTGGGGGGGGGGGGGTCAAACCTAGGCCTTTTCCATGCAGCCCATTGACTCTCTTCCTGGTCTCACCATCTTCTGTTGCACTTATTCTGCTTTCCCTGCTGCCTTACTGAACAGATCAAAGAATTCTAAGATCTGTTACCATCTCCACAAGATCTTCAGCCCTTTGTACAGTGCATGGCATATGTTGGCAGGTACTCAATAAGTACTTGTAGGGTATATATTTAAAATATTTATTAATGTGAGATAATAGCAGGATTCAGCAGGTATAAAAACAAATGTGACCTTGGGCCTCACAGAGATCTATTGTGAGGCATGATTATGGAGGCTAGTGAGGCCAGATTCTACAAGTTCATGTTTCACTTTTAATCTGGGGGACAGCAGGCTGCTGTGGATCATATGTTGCTGATATCCCAGCTTGAAGGCTGTCAGGAGGAAGAATTCTCTCCTACTTGGATTAAGGTCTGCCTTTGGCTCTCATCTGGCCTTTAACTGATTGAAGATGTCCCCATATATGCAGTAGTCAATTTCTTTTCTAAAGACCCAAATATTCATGTCATTCATGTCATTTCATGTCATTCATGTCAATTCAAACACCTTCATAAAAGCACTCAGATTGCGTGGCAAAGTATCAGGGTACCCATGTACCACTCAAATGGACACACAGAATGAACAGTTTTGTTAATTAACATTAGCAAAAACACACACTCAACAATCCCAAGTCTTGTCTCAGCCACCACATTTCAGAGACTGTTGATGAAGGATCCAGGAGGAGCTGAACGGGTGGAAGATGTGGAAGAAGTCACCTCATGAGCAGGGCTAAGTGTTATTTTCAGACTTGGCTCCTGGAAGAAAGAAGGGGTTTTTAGATCTGGAGGTGCAGGTTGGACATGTGAATTTTATGGAGAAACCATGAGAGCAGACATCTCGGCTGGGGGTGTGAACTAGGTCTCTTGTGTGGGGGTGGGGGTGGGGGGGTGGGATCAGCTGCGATCTGGTACCGGAGGTCCCTCTTCCAATCTTGCCCTCTCTGCTGACCCTCTGAGGGGATGCCTTGAGCTTCTCTGAGGATTCCCCCTCTCTCCCACAGGAACACCTCGTAGGTTGTTCTGAGGTTGAGACAGAAATAACAACACTCTCTACAACTCCATGAAGGGAGAGTCTGGGGAGGCCTGTTAGTATCTTCGGGGCCTGCCGAGCTGTTGAATGCCTGCTGCGGCTGACAATGTCCACGGACCTACAGTCAGGGGCACTTCCCTGGTCCTGGCAGCTTTGCTTTCTTCTTAGTGGAATGTGCCTGTGGAGTTTCTGTTAATTTCTTTTCCAGGTTTCTTAGCCCTGAGTCCCTGAGCTCTTTGCTGCTGGACCAAAAGAAGGATTGGAGCAGGGTTGAGGGTACAGGATGGCTCTGCCATTGACTGCCTGAAAGAACCTGCTGGCTTGTGGGCTTCTCTGGGATGTCAGGAAACACTGTACATTTGCTCTCTTTGCTCACAGTTTATTTTCTTGCCTCTCCAGATGTACCTGGGTGCTAGATCCCATTCTTCATGCATTAAGTTTTTGTTGTTTGGCCACACTTTGTTATGCTCAGGAGCCACTTCCTTTGTGATGCTTGCAAAGGAAGTATCTTAACCTCCGTACTATCTCTCTGACCCCTTCGTGGGCTACGTTTTTAAGACCCTCCCCCTCCCCCAAAGCTCATGTTTTGCTTTGTGGCTGTAGTACAGATGAAAACAAAGACAACAGATCACTTGGGAGGCCTGCCTGAATGCTGAGAGCTGTCCTGGAAGTGGTACAGAGGACCTTGCTTGGTCGTTGGGTATTTTTTTCAGTGGTAAAAGTGGTTTTCCATGAAAATACAGTGTTACTATAATGATAAAGTCAGAAAATGGATGAACATTGTGTTGCAGTGTGGCTGAGCCACAGAAGATTTGTGTGCAGCTTGGCATGGTGGGAGTTGGACAGACAAAGGGCCCGGGAGTGGTCTCTTATGCAGTGATGTCAAAACAAGGTCAAAGCTAAATATCATCCCCTGGTCGCCATGTTTCACTTGCAACTGGCACTGGGACATTTTGCAGATGTCATTGACACACATGAGAGAGTCGGTTGGTGTTATATTGCGGGTGTGTAGTAGTTGGTAATTTTTGGGAGTGATCAGAGTTTATGCCTAGTTTATTAATGGTTGGTTTAGGGGTTTTCAAGTCAGTAATATCAGGTTTCTCTTGTTGTTTCTTTCACTCTTTACCTTCCCTTATTTCTTCTCTTCCTTCCCTACACACAGCAGTATTGAGAGGCTACTCCTGACTCTGTGCTCAGTGTTCAGATATCACCTGGCAATGTTCCAGGGTCTGCAGGTGGGGCCAGAGATAGAACCAAAGGTCTGCCTGATACAGGGCAAGTGCCTTATCTCCTGTACTATCTTCTGACCCTTTTCTTATTCTTTTTTAGCTACTCAGCCTTCATATTTCTAGCATAGAAAAGGCTATCTGTTAGAGCCTTACAGATGTTTGAATCGTTGTAATACTCAATCCAAGTTTCAACAGGTTCTCAGGGAGTGGCCTGGTGTATCATGGGATGGTGAGCTTCTCACTGGAAGCCAATAGCTCTTCCTTTCCAGTTATGACAATAAAAGACATTTCCAGTGCAGAAACATAGAGTTACTGACAGAGTACAAGCTGTGCACATACTGGAGGACTGGGTATAATTCCTGGCACCTCCTGGTTTTCCAAGCTCGCCTAATCAGAAACAACCCTCAATCACTGACCTTATATTAGCTCCTGAGTGCCGAATGTAATCCAAAAATAAAAACTGAAAGAAAAAAAAGACACAATTCCAAACATTTCCACTTCAGGGCCACTTCACCACTGGGTAAGGACCACTGGCATAGAAGTTTGGTGGACCCCGTGCCAGGCCAATTTAGAACTCTGTTCTCCAACTAAGAATCATTTACTCCTCATCAAGGCAGAACTTCTCAGTCATGGCTGTCCATGGGAATCGCTCCTGCAGCTTCTAGAATTCCCTGATGCCTGAGTCCTTTCCCAAAGATTCTAATTGGTTTGGAGTGTGGCCTGGGCCCTGGAGATTTAGAAACTCATTCAGTGCTTCTAGTTTTAAGCCAGGAGGTAATTATAGTAGTAATAGGTCGTAAAATAAATTTCATAAAATACTTCTTTGCCAGTCGTTAAAAATAGGTATATCTGTGATTGAATAGAAAATAGAAATGCCCAGTGCAAAGGGTAAGGTAAGTACTATTTGACATGTGTGTTAAGACTGAAAATGCTGAAAATGCTGAAAATGTAAGGATAGAATCTAGGAAGCCAGATTCTTGGTCTCAGTCTTCTTTGGAAACTGCTTGCCAACTAAAGTTTTGCTTTAAAAACTTATATTTTTTAAAAATTTGGGGCTGTACTTGGCAGTATCCAGAGGTTACTCTTGGCTCTCTGCTCAGATGTCACTCCTGGTGGTACTCAGGGGGACAATATGTTATGCCAGGTCTGCTGCATTCAGGGCAGATACTTAAACTGTATTATCTCTGTTCCCTTGCTTAATAATATCAATTATTAATAGCTAATGTGAAATTTAATATGGGACATTTATCGTTTTTGGCTTGAGAATGTGTGAACTGCTTGGCTCACATTCTGAGACTTTACCCAGACATTGATAAAAATGATAAAAATCAGTTATTTTATAAATACTAGCTATAAAGATGACACACATTTTTACCAGCAACTAAATTTGATTATAGTAAAGTAACAAGATGATGAGTTCCCCCTTTTGTACATGTTAATTATAGAGATCATGATAGTCAAGGTCAGCAGAGTTCTACATACATCCAGCAAGAATGTGGGACTTGCATAAGTCATATGGAAAGTTTTATTAGGATCAGTCTAACAGCCTTTTGACTTCATTATCTGTGAGAATTTGAGGGTCTTACAAAATAAACTGTCACACACATTCATCTCCCTGCTGGGAAGGCATGCCTCACAATTGAAAGCCGCACTGGGCATTCTTTCTATTCTTTCTAGTGCTTAAGGCTAACAAACAAATCCTGCTGTGTTCCTGAGAGAGACTCTCTCTGTAGATACTCCATCTCTGGAAGATCTAGAGTCACAATCAGCTGTAATAGGATTTGGGGATCATTTCCTTTGGTACCAGCACCCTTTGTAAGGTTCCGAGAACCCACAACCAAGGTTTCCTGCTTGATTTGGAATATATCCTTTGAAAGGTCTGTCTCCAGATTGAAAGGATGTGTTCAAAGTCCATTTATTGAGATACCTGTACAATAGTACTGGTAGCTTGGGATTCCTCACAATATTCTCTGCAATTTGTCATCACAAAGATTTTTGTTAATGCAAAGGAACAGTTCTCATCTGTGGTAGTTGCCTGATTATCTGGAATAAGTAATCTTGGGATTCTCTCTTCTAGTGGGGAGGGAAGAGTGCCAGAGATAAAACCCAGAGCCTTACATAGTGAAAATGTCCTCTTCCCTTGAAAAATACATTTCCAGCACCACAGGATTATTTCTTGAATCCTCTGCTGATAAATATCCATGAGTTATGTAATCCGTGCTTCCTCCAGTCAGGATTCCACTCCAGGTGGCTGCTAAACATTAAATATGCAAATCTATTTCCACTAGGTGTCGGAGGGTTCTGTGGTCCAGTTTTCATCAGGAAATTTCTCCATGTCAGCGAAAACGGAAGAAAGGAACTTCCCCCAGGACAATGAACATCTCTTAAATTGGGCTCAAAAGGAATACGGAGCAGTCACTTCATTCACTGAACTCAAGATCTCAAGAAACATTTATATTAAAGTGGGGGAAGGTAAATTTTTACAAGGTGTCAGTGTGTGAGTGATTGATGAGTCCTTGTTTTCTGAGTCAGATTGGGAGCAATCAAAGAGCTTTGGATGGAGGTCGCTAGGGCCTGGAGGTTGGCTGGGGTCTTCTTTCACTTGCCCCTCCCCCCCCCACACACACACACTGCTTTCCTCTTTTTCTTCTGAGAAAACAGGCCTGGAAATGGCCAAATAAGAAATGTGGGAGTAGCCTGGAAAGAGAGAAGGAGGGGTGGATGGCATAGGATCTATGAGCTTTTCTTGCTCAGAAGTCAGAAGTGAAGACTGAGTGACTGTGGGGCAGGGATGGAGGTGATAGCTGACGGAATGAAGAGGGTGTTGTCAGGACACATCAACAATTAAGGCTTCCTCTTACCTGTTACTCTGCAAACCTTCACAGTCAATGCCAGTTTATGGTCTCATGATATCAGTTTTGAACACAACAGAAGAAACAGTTTTATGCTAGTTACAAGAACTAAACTGTTAGAGAAGGGAACTGTATACCCTTCATAATAGATGGCCCTTTGCACTTCCCTTGCCTTGCACAGGGATATACATATATGGTGACTCAGTTTTGAAAGCTCATTATTTTTAATAATGTCTTTCATCATAATTTATGTTGAGTGTCTGTGAACCCTCCCCCAGCCCCCTGCTTTAGTGACTAAAAGTAACAGCTCTTGGGAAGGGGTCCGTATGTGAAGCTGCTTTCCAGCCTTTGGTGCCAGTTGCTCTCTGTTGAATCCATTTATTCAACAGTTGTCACCGCTTTCCCAGATAAGGAGGCAGTGATGGTGGGGTATTGGATGCTTGTTCCCAGCTCTGGTTTGGATCTCAGCTCTTGGGCAGATTCAGGAGAGGTGGACAATCTGATACTGAATGTGTGCTCTGTGCAGATGTCCTAACAGTGCTTCCACATGAACTCCCCCACCCAACTTTGCCTACCTTGCTAAGAGGAAACTATTATTTCTATCCTTTTACAGAGGGATTAGTGAAGGATTAAGCTAATTTGCTCAAATCCACATTACTAGCAAGTGGCAAGGCCAGACCTTCAGCCCAGGTTTTGTGATTTTTGCAATCTAATGATGTTGTAGTTTCAGTCTGACTCAAATAAGCATGACCTCAAAAATGAAAGTGGACCACCAGGATGGAGATAATTTGCTTGGCAGAATGAAGGAAGGAAGAGTGTTAGATGAAAGCTGGGTTACAAAAGTTGAAAATTTGTTACTCCTTTTGCCTAGTAGTGAAGTAACTAAGAACTGAGGTCAGGCCCCACTGGGGCAGAGTGAAAATCCCTCTGAATAAAGGTTCTAAGCCCTGGCTAATAACCTTCATTTCTGATGCAGAATTCTAGTAGCTTGAAAGAATGTTGAATCCCCTTAGAATTATTAGACTAAGTAAATGTGCTCTTCATATTTAGACTGTTCTCTTGACATGCCTGAACTTCCCTGAGAGACATAGTGACTCCTCTAGGAGCTCACGCAGGGTGAGGGGTGAACTTACAGGGCCTGGTGGTCAGTCCAGTGTGAACTTTTAAAACTCCTTAGTAACATTTTTGGAAACCCAGAAACTTGATTTCATCTACTGATTCGTGATATCACAATCTGCATTCAGAGAGGAGCAGTTGGGGATAGTGAAGGTCCTTGGTGAGAGGACCATGGACCGTGAGATGATGCTCTTTTTGTTTTGGTTTGGTTTTGGCCCATACCCATGGATGCTCAGGGTTTACTCCTGGCTCTGCACTCAGTAATTACTCCTGAAGGTGTTCAAGGAACGATATTGGATGTCAGCAACCAGACTTGGGTCAGCTACATGCAAGGCAAGTGCCCTACCTGCTGTATTATCTCCAGGCCTGATGCTCTTTATCAACAGATTAGAATAGTAAGCTGAGCCTCATCCATGGGCTTTCCACAACTCAGTTGGTTGCTACTCAGCTTGTCCCCAGGGACCCCAGGCCAGGAGCCTCTGCTATCCATAGGGGTTAAAGAGTGGTTGGTTGCTACCCCATCTGCATCCTGATCACCCAGGGATGTGTTTGTATGTCAATTTTCAGATCTCAGATCACCCCAAACCCATAGAGTTAGAAACTCTGGGGCTAAAATGTTTAGTTGTCTGTTTAAACAAACTTTCCAGGCAGATCTTCTCTCTAACCTATGAAGATCTTCTTTGATTGATGATAGTGCTACGTCCCATTTTGGAGGTGGGGAAACTTCTTCCTCCCATTTGGATATTTATAGCATCATTATTCATGGGCCACACAACACAGGGAAGTGGGCCGTGGACAGCTGAAGAGAAGCATATATGTCAGTCCCATTATGTACCTGGTTCAGACCCTATGATTTCCCAGAATGACATTCCGCACCCCAACAACATGCCTATCATGAGTTGAAAATACCGTATATTATGTTGAAAGGGCAGAGGTTGTGATTCAAATGTAGAGCATATGCCTCACATGCGAGGCTCTAGGTTCACTTCCATTCCCCAGCACAGCAAAAAAGAAGAAAATATCATAAAGTCAGAATGATAATTAGTTATTTGGTTTGGCTTGCTGTTTTGCCTCACAGGAGAGAACACACCACAGTTCCTATTGAGCTTATATCACTTTCATGCCATCAAGAGTTGAACTATCATTCAGTTTGGGGATATACACAGAGTAAAAGAACTCAAGTTTTGATTCTTTGTGTGTGTTTGGGGAGGAGGTGGTGAATCACACCTTGAGGAGGTCAGAGGGAAACTTCTGGTAATGCTTAGGGGACTGTATGATTCTGCTGATCAGACCAAGATTTCCCCCAGCACCCCAGCTTGTTGAGCCATCTCCCCAACCTTTCATGTCTCTCTCCCTCATTTCTCCTCCTTCCACCCCCACCCCCACACTGGAAACTACCTCAGTGGTACTGAGTTTTTATTCTTCTCCCAGTTTATCTATTTTCTGTGAGATGATAACACTGCCGCAGGAAAAGGAAGAGTTTCTGTTGCCACCCAGGCTCTCAGAATTGCTCATTCTGGGTCTTAAAGTCATTGTCAGTGCTTTCCTAAAATACAAATGGAGCATGTGACATGCCACCCTGCCTGCCCCCCCACCCCAAACTCGCTAGGTTTCTACCTGGGGGTTCCCCTACTGTGGTTTCCTTTCTACTTGGCAGTTGGTGTAAGTTTTGATGCCAAGACATGCAGAAGGTCAGTGGGGGAAGGGATAGGGAGAGGAATCATACACATGATTCTGTGATACACACAACAACAAGGAAAATGAGCTGCTTCTGTTAACAATGGCATCATGGACTTGAGCCCTTAATCAGCACAGCTCTTAAACAATAAGACCTTCCTTTGTGGCTTAGGGGGTCACACTATGTGTCTTTTGTTATTTGTCTCCTCTCACACAGCATTGTTTATGCCGGAAAGCTCTGCTGGGTGTGCTCCTGTTGTGTGCCAGGGGGAGATTGGCTCACCTAGGAATGGGCTAGACAGGCAGGGTCCCAAGTGAGCATCTCCATCACTTAAGTGCCAGAATGGCATGTCCCTGATGCAGGCACACACCCTCTGATTCTTGATTATGTCTTGAACTTGCCAGCCCAGTATTGTTTTCTGTCTTGTGAGCTGGGCATGCCCTCACAGGCTGCAGGTGAAGCTGACACAATCCTCATCTGCTTAGCAGGCCAGGGCATCGGCAGATATGTGCAGGGGTGCTGGAGTGAGAGTGGGGTCCTGGTGACTTTGCCCCTTGGTGCAGGGCTTTAGAGAAGACATACAGCTCACTTGGCCTCTCTGACTGGGGGCTTGGGAACTCCTCTAGTTCTTTCTGCCCTAGGGGTGAAACTGGGAATTCCTAGTACCCATGAAGCTGTGATGTCACTGTGGGTGCTGCAGATTTGTCCCTAAGCATGCTGCACAAGTTGTTCAGGGTGCACAAGTTGTCCAGAGTGAAGGAGAGAGTGACATCTCAATTTGGGAATCTATCCTCTCCAAGGAACTGATTCTACTGCTGAGTGATACTGGCATTTGGATTTGATTTCTGGCATCCTGTCTGTAAAATAAAAAAGGCAGAACTTCTTTTCAGTCAGGTGCCAGGGCTCTTATTAATTATGGCTTCTGAAGAAAGTTTGGTGCACTTAGAACTTCCCTGACACTGGTCCCAGCTGTCAGTGTGCCAGAAGATTTAAGTTATGTTTAAACATTTAAATCATGAGCTGGAAATCCCATCAACCACAAGTCTGTGTAAGCAGCATGTGGTGCTTGCAGGAGCAGCTTCAGACTCTGGCTCTTGTACCATTTATCCTCAAATGATGTTTGTGAAAGCACCTTATAAACTGTAAAGTGCCATATCAACATGAGTAGCAATGTGATTGTCAAGATAATGAGGGTGAAAACTCACCTTTAAGGATCCCCATAATGCCCCCTTCACTCTGTAGAATATAAAGTTCTCCAAGAAATAAATAAGAGATAATGGTTAATTTTGCAGGAGGAACCTGAGAAGCAGGTGACTCCTTCTCTGTTCACTACAGAGGAACCTATTGAGGAGTAGGGTAGAGCACTGGCTTCTGGCTGGCGTGTGCTACTGAACAATTTATTACTTCTGTGGGGTGCTTGGTAGACCAATGACAGTACAGGTCTGAGCTCATTGAGGGAATTAGGATCTTGGCACAAGTTTATACAGTGGGAGTGATACAGATCATCTAGGAAGAAAAGACAAGGAGATGATTGAGGGAGGGAAACTGCAGTTCAAGGCATTGATTTCTAATAGGATCAACTGTGGAGCAATCTAAGAAAGCAGGATTCCTAGGCTCACACCATTTCCTGAGTCGGAATCTCCCGGATGGGGTCCAGGAAGGTGCTGTGTAATGTGCGCCACAGATTTAGAAGATGAGCTGAGGTTTGAGAGCCTAAAAGGCTGAAAGACAGTTCAGAGGAAATAAATGAGGACAAAGAAGTGGACAGGAAAGAAGAGAATTTCAGTGAAAGCCAGTGGGAGGGCTCCAACAATCTCCAGGGAGGCCTCATGGTACAGTGGTTGGAGTTCTCAAGTGCTTTCTACAGAATTGGGGGCTCCCTGTGTCCTGCTCTCTGTGCTCTAGTCCCTGGGAGTCTGGTGACCATCTGGTGCTGGTTTGACATGCTGTTTCCCTGTGCTTCCTTCCTTGCAGATCAAGTGTTCCCTCCCACGTGCAACATCGGGAAGAACTTTCTCTCACTCAATTACCTGGCTGAGTACCTGCAGCCCAAAGCAGCAGAAGGGTGCGTGATGATCAACCAGCCCCAGGACAAGGAAGTGCACATCATTGAGTTAATCAGCCCCAACTCAAACCCTTACAGGTGAGCCAGTGTGCGTGAATTTGGCTGAGAAGAGTTGTGTTCTGAATGAGGCCCAGCGCTTAATGTTTGGATGTGGGTCATAGAAGCTTTGAAGAAAGGAGTGCAAGCATTATTTTTTTTTTCTGCCTCTGTCTTCACCTTCTTTCTGTCCAAGGGAGTCTCTGAAGTCTCTTCTGTACTGTTGATCACTAATTATTGGACATGGGCCACCACTCTCCCCTTGGAGATTACACCTAATAAGAAAATTTGCAACATCTGCATTAGCACAGCGGGTAGGGCGTTCGCCTTACAAGCGGCCAACATGGCCTACCTGAGTTCGATTCCTCCGCCCCTCTCGGAGAGCCCGGCAAGCTACCGAGAGTATTGGATATGCCAGACACAGTAACAACAAAGTCTCCAATGGAGACGTTACTGGGCCCGCTCGAGCAACTCTGCATTATGTACATAATTATTATTTTTAAATGGCTTTCTGGTTTGTGTGACTGGTTTTTTTTATTTGTTTGTTTGTTTTTGGCTACACTGGACTCTGTTCATGACTTACTCCTGGCTCAGAGATCACTATGCTCAGGGATCACTCCTGGCAGAACTCAGATGACCATTGGCAGAGCTGGGACTGGAACCTGAGTTAGCTGCACAAAAGGCAAATGCCTCATCACTGTGCTATTTTTCAAGTTTCATTCTTTTTTTTTAACATATTGTTGAGATAACCTGTTTATGATAGTGTTAACACTTAAACATTTTGTGTACAGCTTTATGCCCCCACCAACACTAAAGTGCCAAAAAACCGACACCAGAGCACTTTTTCTTGTAACTATTTACCTTATAAAGACTGTGTTTGTGTGTGTGTGTGCACATGCACACGCGCATGAGCTTACGCTTATTTATATATGTGTGCATTATGGTGTGCTTCATGGTGATTCATGACACATCAAAGCCAAAAAGGCTGTTAAGGACAACTTGCCTCTTGGCCTCCCACACACTCAGCTTCCTGTTCTGAGACTAGGAATTTAACTCTTGCTATCAAGATGATTAGAGAATTGTCTTTAAAGGGAGAGGGTGGATGTTGGCTCATCTCCCTCTTCAGTCTGCATTTCATGTGCAATGGGAAGTTAAAAATGACATTGTGTGTTGTAGAGGATTTTACAGTTATAATTTGTCTCCATTTTCTATTTCAAAGTGGGTAAACCAGTTTGTGGTAAGATATGATTTTATCCCACATGAAAATTTTCATGAAAAATTTAAAGGAAGAGAAATAGGAGTAACTTGGCAGATGTGCTTAGATACTAAGCCCAAGGCTTCATTTGAGTATCTTATTCATTTTACGTTTACAAGTGTATAAAACTAAGCTGGAAAGGAACTTTTTTTTTAAGTTCAGAGTGACAGATATTATTGTTTGATTTAAAACAATTCTCTTCTTTACTTAATTCTTAGTAGTTTGGTCAGTGTCCATCAGTTTTCCAGTAATCATTTGACTGACCATCTGTTTTCTGTATTTTAAGAATTGTATATCCAGAAGTTTGGGAAAGTAAATGCAGATACAAATCTGCATTAATGGTGTAAGCAAGCCTTTTATAGTAGCACTGCACTGTAGCACTATTCTCCCGTTGTTCATCGATTTGCTCTAGCGTGCACCAGTCTCCATAGTGAGACTTGTTGCTGTTTTTGGCATATCGAATACATCATGGGGGAGCTTGCCAGGTTTTTCCGTGCAGGTGGGATACTCTCGGTAACTTTCCAGGCTCTTAGAGATGGGTAGAGGAATCGAACCTGAGTCAGCCGCATGCAAGGCAAACGCCCTACCTGCTGTGCTATCGCCCCAGCCCCTTTTTATCGTTAAAAAAAATTCCGAATAAGCCTTTTGCTTCTTTATTCTGAAATTTTCAAACTCTTTGAACTGCTTTACCTCCTTTCTCCCTGCAGCTTTCCACTTCTGCAAAAGATCTTGTGCATATAGCAGATAGGAAAGTTTCACGTAGAAAGTGTTGAAGGTTAAGAAAGCAGTAATATCACTTCAAAAGTAAACTCGGCTGGGTTACTCAAGTCCATTTCAAACATTCATTGAGTAAAGACTTTTTTTTCTAAAGAAGAGAAAAATGTTAGTGGCTAATTATCAGCAAGCATATTTTTCTATTGTTATGCAAAACCATTTTGTTTTGTGTGCACTAACAATCTGTTTTGCACATGTCATTTGCCTGGAGTTGACTCCAGGTTTTTAATCAACTGGCCAGACACTAGAAACACGAAGACTTGGAAGAAGGGAGATAGTTGCAGCTTTCTGGCATTTGGGTCCTAACTCAGCCTTTATTTTCCATTCACAGTGCTTTCCAGGTGGATATAATAATTGATATAAGACCTTCTCGAAAGGATCCTGAAGTGATCAAAAATCTCGTCCTGATCTTGAAATGCAAAAAGTCTGTCAACTGGGTGATCAAATCTTTTGATGTGAAGGGAAGCCTAAAAGTTATTGTAAGTTGGTTGCGCTTTTCTTTGTTTGGATGCTTGCCCATTGACCCAGCTGAGCTTCTCTGTAAGGTCTCTGCTTCTTTGGACTCTCAGCTCTCTCAATATTTTTTTCACTTTGTAAAATGGTCTCTGCTCCTTGAGTTTTCCAACAAAGTGGGCAGTGAGGTGTAAGCATGGTCTTCTCAGGTCAGGACCAGTCTGAGTTTGACTCTTCCATTTATTCACTATGACCTTGAATTAGTCCCTTCATCATGTTGGATCCTAGGGACTTTATTTGTGAAATGTCTAAAATGTGTTTGTGTGTTTTCCAGTCATTGTTAGCGTAAACTATGAACCCATGAAATCTCCCATGTATGCAAGTCCCAGAGAACCCATGTTTCCCCTGTCCTGATTTGGCCCTCCCTTTGGGCTGATGGTTTGGGGAAAGAGAAAATATTAGGCTGGCCCCAGTCACTTTGCACAGCTGCACTGCTGACATTTTTTTAAAAAAAAATATATCAACATGTAATGTTGATAAGTCTCTTTATTTGCTTCTTATGGGGCAAAAGAATGAAACAAGATCACAATAATGGAGTGAGTTGATACAAGCAAAGGATTCCCCCAGATGTTCCCAAAGTTTCTGTTTCATGAAGGGTAAATGTAAGAGGCTTGACTGGTTGACATGTTAGGTCAGTGGGAACTAGCTTCCTGAAAAGTTCATGTTCAAATGTGGTAAACCAAGTCTTTTTTCAGATACATTTGGGAAACTAGCTGTTTGAAGGAATATTGGAATGAATTGCTCTGAATGTCAGAAAAGCACTTCATTTTTAGGATGATCCTTCCCTCTTGAAGCCTGGTCTTGAATGGTGGACTTTTCTAAAAGTATTGGGTTGATTCATCATTTGGGACCTGTGTGGTATAAGGTGGAGAGGGTTTGTATTTTTAGTCTTTGGGGGAAGGAATGCCTTTGCTTTCGGTATTGTATGTTGAGGACCCTGTTTGGTAGAGCACTGAAATCAGCCAACAGTTCCCAAAGCCACATCATGTGCAAGCCCCAAACAGAGGCAGCAGGCAAAGTCATGAGCATATACTTACTTATTTTAAAGAAATTTCTGCCTTCTGTGGGGCTTTCTTGATTTTTCTTTAAACTTTGAGATGAACTCAAAGGCCAGCCATAGTGATATGAATTCAGAGATGTTTTGCTGCCTTCCCTGGCATGGCAGAAGGGGTGTTAGTGACCTTGGTGTCTTCAGCCTTTGCTGCCTGGCACTCCAACCAAATGTTTTTAATTTCAGAATAACAAAAACAGGAAAGGGAATCATGCTTTGAAAGGCAAAAACATACGGTACGTTTTAATTCCCTGCTGGAGTCTTGTGTAAATGTTCTTTCGGCCCTGACCCTTCAATGGCTCTTTCTTTCCTTGAGGATATGTGCCTGCTCCATGGCAGTCCTGAAGTTTTCTTTGAATGTCCCCACTTCTCGTAGAGTCAGAAAGGCTAGAAATGAGTTTGCTCATCTCAGTGCAAGATTTGTTTATATTCCCCTCTTTGGCTGTACTCCTGTTCCAAGCCAATTTTGGACAATGCATGACAACATTACTAAACAATTAGGTAATGTTTCATGATGTTCTTTTTTATTCCCCCAATCAGTTTTCATGCTTTGTGATTTCTTAATTCCCCTTCTCTAAAGTGAGTTCTGACTATGCTTGGAGGGAATCTGCTAAAAATGATAGAGATTTGTGCTGAGAAGGACAGTGATCAAGTAGGGACTTTGTTTCTAGCATTTCTTTTGCGATACTATGGGAGAGTGGAAAAAAGCCTGACTTTGGTCCTAGACAAATTCAGTCTCTGGTTACCATTCCTGTAAATTTATACTGGCCAATCTTATTGATTTCTCAGTATGTTATCTCTTTTGTAACATGGTTATGATGAAGAACACACCTTAAGAATTATTGTGAGATTTATGGGAAATAAGTAGTACGGTGGATAGGGCACTTGCCTTGCATGCAGCCAACCAAGTTTGATCCCTGATATCACATACAGTCTCCCCAGCATCATCAGGAGTAATTCCTGAATGCAGAGCTAGGAGTAACCCCTGAGCATTATCAGGTGTGGCACAAAAACCAAACAAAAACAGATGGGGTGACTAAAACCTCATGGGAAGGGGGGCGCTCCGGGCTCATCCTTCACACCCTACCGAGGTCACCAGTTGCCCCCCACGAGTGGCTCTCCGGCACGGCCACGGCCCCAGAAGCACAAGGACTTAATGCAGAACCCAGCAGCTTGGAGCAGAAAAGTGAATGGACTATGCATTAATCCACACCACCATGTCTGCCCGGAGAGGAAAGGGTGTTGCTCCCTTCCGCCTTCTCCCCTCTGGAAAGAAAGATGGCAGCCGCATGGGAGCCTTGTGGAGAGCCAGGTATGAGCCGGTGGTGATGGGGCAACTAAAACCTCATGGGAAGGGGGGCGTTCCCGGCTCGTCCTTAACGCCCTACCGAGGTCAACAGTTGCCTCCCACGAGTGGCTCTCCGGCATGGTCATGACTCCAGAGCACAGAAACCAATCTCTTAATTATCTGACTCTCAGTAGAAATACTTCCAGGGTTAATAAGTAAAATAGTAGAAATCCGTCATTTAATTCTTGAACCCAGCTGTAGAAAGCAAATCATTTCACAATGCTTTTTCAGCATGTCTGATGTGGGGTGGGGGGTAAACTCTAAATAATAATGGTGCATCTTTTATCGAAACAAAGTAGATAGAGTGTTAACTAGAATTCATCTGCCTCACAGGCATTGGGAGGGGTGTGGGGTGGGGGTTTGTTGGTGCTCTTCATGGTGAAAAATAAGTATTGGTAAAGGGAAATGTGTTTGATATTTGCATGACTGAGACCTAAACCTGAAAGCTTTGTAACTTTTCCCACAGTGATTCAATAACTAAATAAATTATTTAAAAAACCAAACAAAAACAAAAAACAAAAAACATGGTTAGTTGAAATTTAGCATAGTTTAATTATTTGCTCATTCGTTAATTCACTCAGTATTTACCAGATATTTCATCTAATGCATCTAATGCACTCTGCCTGCACATGGTGAGTCCTCAAGTCACATGTGCAACTTGACTTCCTAACTTCCAAGTAGTCTGAGGTGCCTAATCTCTAACTAAAAAATAGTAATATCTGTTTCCTCAAATTTGGGAGGAGAAATAAGTAAGATACACTGGTAATCCTATAATGAAAAGGAAATGCATCTTCCTTCCATAAGCAACTCCTTGAAAGAGTCTACAGGAGCAATTGATTTCTGTGAACAAAAGAAACGTTTGTCCACTGGTGACTTGCTTCATGAGAGAAACTTAAAGAACGTCATTAAATACGGCTGAAGTGTGTGTGTCTGTGGGGGTGCGATATGGGCAAGAGGCTCCCTCCAATTGACAGTAGTCCAGTAGGACTCCAAGGGTTGCACAGTAGATGAGTATGGCAGTGCTAGACATGTTGCACTGCCCATCTCTCATTTTTTCTTTAGTGGCTTAAGGATCACTCTGAATCACATTTTGGAAAAACATAGAAGAATAGATGGGATAAACTTATAAGAAGTGACCTGTTGTAGTAATTGGCATGACTGTAGGATTTGAATATGCCAATAGCCAATTTGCTCTTTAAAAAGACTTTTTAAATCCCAAAGGGAACATGTTCAGTACTCAGTACTCTCTGGTCAACACTCGCCCCTTCTTTCCCCGCATGATAGCGTGTGTGTGTGGTGTGTGTGTGTGTGTGTGTGTGTGTGTGTGTGTGTGTGTGTGTGTGTGTGTTGGCAGTTTGTAATGGAGGGAATGCACTCAGGCACTCATCATTCATGAATATGGAGACTTCCATGAACATCTTTATTTGAAGTAGCTACACTGAGACCTTGAAAAAGTTCAAGGACTTCCAGAAATACAGGGTAAGGAATTGACTCATTTCTGGGATCAACTTGCTCTACCATTGTCCCAAGTCTTGCTTTTCTAGCCTTATGCCTCCATCTGAAATTTCACCAACATGAGTTGTACTGATGGTTCCTAGAGTGAATGTGGAAAGATATTAACAAATCATTTCATATTAGTACAAAAGAACTAATGGAAGTTATGATGATAATATTATGGAAATATAGTGTTTTCTCAGCTGTCCAACAATATGAAAGACTGGGGCAAATGAGGCCAAGCAGCATTGTTTAGATCAGTGTTGCAACTGTAGCCAATCAAAATGGCCTGCAGCTTTGAAAGCCTGGAGGAAGCTGTGCCTAGGAAACCCTTGTTGGCTAAGTAAATAAAAAGCTCTAAGAATAAATTGGATTCTTCCCTCCCTCCCTCCCTCCCTCCCTCCCTCCCTCCCTCCCTCCCTCTCTCCCTCCCTCCCTCCCTCCCTCCCTCCTTCCCTTCCTCCTTTCCTTCCTCCTTTCCTTCCTCCTTTCCTTCCTCCTTTCCTCCCTCCTTCCCTCCCTATCTCCCTCCCTCTCTCCCTTCCTCCCTCCCTCCTTCCCTCTCCTAAAGAATTGAATCTGAGTTAAAGTAATTGAACTTCTATATCTTAGGGGGGTGTGTGTGTGTGTGTGTGTGTGTGTGTGTGTATGACTGCAGAATGTGGTTAAAGCTCTGTCTGCTTCCTCTGCATACATGCTTATGACTCAGGCTGACAGTTTTTCCTCAGATAAGCACTTTGAATGATAGAAGAGATACTGGGTGTGATTCTTTTAGCTTTGAATTGAAAATGTGTATCCTCGGCCAGTATCCCACAAGGGAAGAGGCCAAAGAACTTAGAGGTTGTGAATTGTCATTGGTTTTACAGTGGGAAAGGATTAATATTTAGTCGTGTTTGGGGCAAACAGAAAGGGAAACAAATGGGGAATGTAGGGGAAATGGAGCATATATGTAGGAGAAAATAATTGGGCATGGAAATTAAAGTGATTTTTATCTGGCATGAAAATGACATAATCTGCATTCTGGAAGAGCTACCCAACTCTATTGAAGCAGTTGGTGAAAATATGGCGCCTTCCCTCTCAGGCTTCTCCACAACATTCGGCTCCTTCACTGTGTAAGAGCTGGAAGGTGATGTGGAAATTTGCCATCTATGTTCTTGTTACTCATAGTCCTTTGATATTCTTTACCGGAAAGATTTCCATCATTCAACTTTAATTTTGTAGCTGATTATTAAGTGAAGCCAATTTTAAGACTGGCTTGGGCTGTTGGAGAAAGTATTGGTACTGAGGAGACAGTAATCTAAAATCCCTAAAAGTTAGAGCATAACTTTCAACTAACATATCCAGTTGAAAGAATTAGCAAATAAATACAAGTATAGGATTGCTAAATTGAACAACTATAAAGAAAATGCAAATATTTCTTGGGGTTGTTTTTGTTTGCTTGGGGGCCACACCTGGTATTGCTCAAGGTTTATTCCTGGCTCTGTGCTCAGGGATCACTCCTAATGTACTCAGGGGACCATATGGGGTGCCATGGATGGAACCCTGGTCATTTGCATGCAAGGCAAGTACCCTACCCAGTGTACTATCTCTGATGATTTTATCCAATGGGATTTAATAGTTGCAAAGATGAAATAGTCTTCATACTTAAGTTACTAAATTAATTCTTCCTTCTCTCATTTAAATCTAGGGTGTAGAAGTGGAAGCATGGGCATTTGGGGTTAGTAATATATCATGCCCATCTGTATAATTTATATAATCTTAAGTAAAAATAAGAAAAAGGTTTTAGTATACACTTGGTGCTTCTATGTCAATAATTTAAACTTTAAAATAATTCTTTGTAACATTGTGGTTTTACTTAACTGTGTTTGGATTATTTTTTTTATCAACATAAGCAACCCAAATGGTATAATCAAAGAACATGAATTAATGTCATTCTGTTAAAGAGGTTCCCATTAGTGTTGTTAGCCGAAGGAAATTAGGGATTAAAACAATAAATAATTATTTCATTTGCAATATGTGAATTGTTTCTTAATGCACTGTTTAATATTATACTTGTGAGTGAAGTTCTGTTATTATCTTTAGGCCCCTAACAGTATTGGCTTTGGAAAAGAGAGTGAAAGATCCATGACAATGACCAAGTCCATAAGAGATGACATTCCTTCAACTCAAGAGAATCTGATCAAGTGGGCTTTGTCCAATAACTATAGTCCAATAACATCATACACACTCGCACTTGTGGCTAATAGATTTCATCTTCAGGTCGAAAATAATGGTAAGTATGAATTTTTAAGTGTATAAAAATATTTTCTACATTATGCTTTCCAACGAGAAACTCTCATTTTGCCTTAGATGATATTATTTGCCTGCTTAAAGTTATCTAGAATGGTAATTGATTATTTTGAGGAAACTATAATGTCAATTTTCCAGTAATATAGCTGATTGCATGTTGGAGAACTTCATTACATATTGCCTTCACTGAATTCACCAAGGAAGAATTAACCTGGGTCCTTCTCTCAGAGGTACTTAATAATCACTTCCTGTAAGATGCAGAGGTGTTGGCATTGCAGGCGAGAAGTTCTAGATTAGAATCTATAAGAAAGTAGGGAGGAATGTTCCTCTGTGTGCTTTCTCCTTCCTATCTGGAGGGAATGTAGGGGCCACCACCCCTACTTGATATAGCTGAAAGCAGAGGCTTTCAAGAGTTTTGGAGGGGCTAGAGCGATAGCACAGTGGGTAGGGCATTTGCCTTGCATGCTGACAACCCGGGTTCGATTCCCAGCATCCCATATCATCCCTGAGTACTGCCAGGAGTAATTCCTGAGTGCATGAGCCAGGAGTAATCCCTATGCGTAGCCAGGTGTGACCCCAAGAGCCAAAAAAAAAGAGCTTGGAGCCAGTCAGACTTAAGCACAAGTTTTTCTGATCCCCAACCTGCTCCTCACATGGTACTGCCAACTAAATGCATTGCCAACAGAATGAAAATTAAAAGTATGTGGTTAAGTCCCTGCTCTGCCATTTTTCCACTGACAGGGGAAAGTTGGCTAAATTGGATGCCTCCGTTTCCTCCTCAGTAAGAGAGGGAAACAGTAGGACTTACCTTCCAGAGCTGTTTTGCAGATCTTCCTTAAAGTATAAACTAAAAACTACCCTTTTGAATTGACCATTGTGCCATTCTTTTCAAAAGAATATCATTGAAGGAGAGTTCATGCCCATCAGTCACCCACACCATTCCTGGGGAAATTATTTTTTCCCTAAATTTTTGAAAAGTTAACAAAATACTAAATATTAACTATACGTAAATACATCTCACTCTTTGAAGGAATAAGTGTACTTAAGCAGCTTTTCCGTCTTTCCTACTAGCTTCTAAAAGGATAGGATCCCTGGGTTCCTGTTAGAATTGAGTGGTCAAAAAAGAAAGAGTTAATAATCTTAAAATACCAATATGTGAGACTGGAGAGAGCAGAGAATTCAGGGATTCTCATGCTTGCCTTCCATGCAGCCAACCCCAGTTCAATCACTAGTACCACATATGTCACCTTGAGCACTACAGGGCTGACCTCTAAGCACAGAGCCATAAGTAAGTCAGAAGTAAGCATTGCCAGTTGTGGTCCCAAATCCTTCTTCCCCTCTTAGAAACCAATATTGTTTCAAGAATATGACTTCTTGAATCACAGATTTTTTTTTTGCTTTTTTTGGGGGGGGGGGTGTCACACCTACAGGAGTTACTCCTGGCTCATGCACTCCTCAGGAATTACTCCTGGTGGTGATCAAGGGAACATATGGGATGCTGGGAATCAAACCTGGGTCGTCAGTGCGCGAGGCCAAAGCCCTACACACTGCTATTGCTCCAGCCCCCGAATTACAGATTTTTATGGTGTATTAGACCTTAAAAATCATCTGACACAGTCTTCCTGAATCTTGCTATGTATGTGACCCAAACATGGTGCTTTAAAACATACTAATGGTTAAAAACCACCCAAGATTATCTGATTTTGCAAGTTAGTGTGGGGTTTGGAGGCTCAGGCTCAGCATTGCCCAGAGGGTCAGCAGAGCTCAGTGGTGATCTGCCAGTGCCAAAAATTGAATGCAAGGCAAGTAACAAACACCTTAATCTTTATTCTCTATTTGGCCCTTAGAATCTGATTTTTAATTGGTGGGTGAAAGTGTGTGTGCGTGGGGGGTGGGGGGTGGGGTTAGGAGGGTCCAAGGTATAAGAGCATTTTAACACCCACAATGTGGGTTCTTTGTTTGTTTTTGCTTTTTGGGTCACACCCAGCATTACACAGGGGTTACCTCTGTCTCTGCACTCAGGAATTACTCCTGGCGGTGCTCAGGGGACCATATGTGATGCTGGGAATCGAACCTGGGTCGGTTGTGTACAAGACAAATGCCCTATCCACTGTGCTATTACTCCAGCCCCCCTCCCACCATGTGATTTTGAATGTTCACCCAGAGCTGAAAATCTGTGATCTCATTAATCCCCATAATTCTAAAAAGTAGGAAAAGTGAAGGACAGAACAACCTTAATTAGAAGGAACAGAATTGGGATTAGAATTCAGATTTCCTTATCTCTTTTATACACTGCTCGGTAAGGGTAATTTTCACATATGCCTGTTCTGTTTAATTCTTTCTGCTCTTGCTCCATCATCTCTTTGATGATGATTTTGGATTGGTATCAAACGCTGATGATGTTTTCCTTCTTCCATCCCACCAGAGGAGATGAGAGATGAGGAAGTCCATACTATCCCTCCTGAGCTACGAATCCTGCTCGGCCCTGGCCCACTGCCTGCTCTGGAAAACCCACCTGCCCGGGGAGGGGGAGGCCGAAGTGGAGGTTTCCCTTTTCTTTTCCCTGAGATGAACAGAAGAGACCAAAAGGATGGGGTGGACGATGGAATTTCCCAGCCAAAGCATCCTATCCTCCCCAGCATACAATTGTTTCCTGGTCCTCGGGAGCCCGAGGAATTGCAGGGAAGCGTGGATGTTGCCCTGTCTGTCAGATGTGACAACGAAAAAATGATTGTGGCTGTAGAAAAGGATTCCTTTCAGGTCAGTGCCGTTTGGTAAAGATGGTAAGAGAAGGCCTCTTCTCGACATCTTGCTCCTGCCTGTACTAGTGATTTCCTTCTAACTCTTTCACTTTTGAACTCCAGAGATTTGATACTGTTTTCTCAGTTGGATGAGCTTACTTCCCCTTGGCTGTGATTCTTGCCCAGTTCCTGTTGTTCTCAGTGAGGGGGAAGGGGTGGGGGGGTGCAGATCCTTGTGTGTCAATATTTTGCTATTGAATTTCCAAGGCCAACAAACACAGCAGCTGAGTTGTTGAGAGGTGGTCAGCTGGGAAGAGACAGAAGGGAAGGGGGTACAGACCTCCAGCAACCTTGATTTGAAAGACCAGATGAAATGAGCCGTGTGTAGTGAAATGAACTCCCCATGGGACCCTGAGTATGTCTTTGGTGGTTGTTTTTCAGGCCAACAGCCACTCGGGCATGGAGCTCACCCTGTTAGACCCTACCTGCAAGGCCCGGATGAATGGCACCCACTTCATTCTGGAGTCTCCTCTGAATGGCTGTGGGACTCGGCACCGACCTGCAGCTCCTGGTGGTGTGGTTTACTATAACTCTGTGAGTGTTTCCAGATCTAAGCTTGGCCCTTTGCCAGAGCCTTGCTGGATGTTACCTTAAAATTACAACTTAAGTTTCTATGAAAGGAAGGAGTGTGTACCCCATGCCTAAATAGTGCCAAAAGTTGATTGTCAACAAAGTGAGATATGATTTGACCATGATTGTTACCTGTTCAGTGATTGTGGAGGTGTCTCCCAAACCATCTTTCTGTGTCCTGGTTACAAAGTTTTGATTGTCAAAGTGATTATGACTTTGACCCCGTCAAGCATGGGGTCAAATAGTCTGGTCCTTCCATTGATTGATTCCAGTCCTCTGGGCTGTGAGCAAGCACCTCCATTCACAGCCAGGTCCTGGTCTCTCTTTGTCATGGAGTCAAATTCAAAGGCAGGAGAACTTATTCCTTTCTTGTGAATAATAAAGAAATTTGGAAAGGGCCTTCAGGAAAGCATTATAGAATCCCACCTCAAAGAGCCTACATTGAAGAAAATCTACTTTTGAAGTTACCCATAGAGAGATTCCACAGATTTCCCACTTATCCATCCCCCACCCCATCAGTAATCTATTGTAATAGCTGATAGGGACAGACACCGGGCAAGTAAATATCGAAAACACTTTGAAACATGAAATCTCAAAATGACTTTATAGCCTGAACTTGGCAATTTGGGCTCTATGCTCAATGATCAGAATAAGGCCCCAGGAGTGCAGTGCTCTGCTTTGACATGTGATATGTGTCTACTTGTCCCAGTGGTGGGTACACATGGTTGCTCTTTCATTTTACCATCATTAGCAGAACCCGTGCAGAAAAAAAGATGGGTAAGCTGGAACTCTGGCAACTGACTCTTGTAGCTTTCCTGTGAGCCCAAACTTTATACCATCTCAGAGCATTTGAACTAGAAAGAACCCTACGATGATGCATCTCCTTCACATTTTTTATTTCCTGTGTAAGGCAGTTGAACTCTAGAGACTTCCTAAAAGCAGAAGGACCAGGTAATGGCAGTTAGATGAATCCATCTTTCCAAATCTGTCCCACTAATTTTTTTGCCCATACTAGACTGGCGTCACTAATTTCCCTTTGTTCTTGAATTTATTAATTGATGTTTGACTTATGTAATGAACTCCCTCCTACTAACACCAACACTAATTTTCTTAGAATTAATCTGGTTTTCTAAATAGGGTGACACTCACATATTACTGGTTTACTTGATAATGCAATTTTTAATTTTGTCTAAACATAGACATAGGCTTGGTAACCTCTTAATTTTAAAAAAAAGAATATAATGAGCCCTTGAAAATTACTCTGTGCTGTGTGTATGTGTGTATTGTGTGTGTACCAAGTACTTGCTTCAATTATATCAATAATTTCTATTGAAGAAAGACCTGATAAAGCATAGAAAGATGGTTTCCCTTTATATGCTACCCATTCTACTTCCTTCTGCGAATATTGTAGTTTATTTGTACCAGTTATAATAATAACTCATAGTAATTGCTTGTATTCCAATATTTTTTTTGCTTTTTGGGTCACACCCAGCAAGGCACAGGGGTTACTCCTGGTTCACGCACTCAGAAATTACTCTTGGCCGTGCTCGGAGGACCATATGGGATGCTGGGAATTGAACCCGGGTCAGGCCGCGTGCTAGGCAAATGCCCTACCTGCTGTGCTATCACTCCAGCCCCTGTATTAATTTTTAGATCCTTATATTTTTTTGGTTTGAAACGTATTCAGAATAAAGCATGTCAAGCAAAATACAAAAAAAATAAAACCCCACAACAAAAGAAACCAATCTTGTGCTTCCCACCCCCCTCAAAAAAGGCATTACTAGTTTACATAGGCAAATAAATTATAATTTTATTTAAAGAGTCATTATCCTTAAGTGATTTTGTTCATCTTTTCTGGGAGTAATTATTTCTGTGAATAATTATTTCAATCAGTGTTACAGTAGATTGTTTTGAACCAAATTATACAGTTCTTTTCTCCATCTGAACATCACACAAAAAGATACAGGGAAATAAATGAGGAAAAGATAATGGTTCCTGGGGAAAGATGAGAAGATACTGGCTCATGGTGAAATATTCAGTCTTTTGATTCTTATCAAACCAAACTTTAGACAAATATTGATAAATCCAAGTAAGGCGTTCGTTAGAATGCAAGGATTAACTGATCCTTGTATTGGTTAAAGGTAAAAGGTGTATTGGTTAGTTCTTAATATTTCTTTGATTTTTTTTTATATAATGACCCCTTTTTTAAAAATCTCCTTTAACTCCACCAGCTTATTGACAGCTTCATTCAACCCCAATCATATCTAGTATTTTTCCACTGTTTGAGATTATTTTTATTAAGAAGAGAAGATCCATATTTTAGTCACATATTAATTTGAACATGCATTGAATATATCCTTATTGTTCATGTCTTTATGAAGATAAAATCATTTTTTAAACCCAAATTTTTAAGTCACATTTTTATTTTGATTAACTACTATTTCAGGGGAATATGTAAGATAGAGGCAAATATATGCAATTTGCTCTATTTTGTAATCTTGTGCTTTCTTTGCCTTTTAGATTGTGATACAGGTTCCATCCCCGGGAGAAAGTAGTGGTTGGCCAGATGGTTATGAGGATTTGGAATCAGGTGATAATGGATTTCCAGGAGATCTAGATGAAGGAGATGCTCCCTTCTTCAGCCGGCCGGAAATGGTGGTGGTAAGTGTTTGTTTGCAGTGGGTGGTCTTTGGAGAGTGTGATTGGTTGTGGTCAGCTTTAGTTTGGAGGTCCTGGATTTGGGTGTAGATATTCGTTCCAGCTCTGCAGGGCCTTCATCCTTCATTTGGTGGTGATTTATCTCTGTGGTATGTGTTTGTCTAGTTCAATTGCAGCTTAAAACAGGCGGTGAATCCCAGTAGCTTCCAGGACCTTCCCAACAGAAACATAACCTTCAATATGGAGCTGTACAACACTGATCTCTTCCTGGTGCCATCCCAGGGTGTCTTCTCCGTGGCAGAGAATGGACCTGTCTATGTGGAGGTGAGACCTAGTCTTGAGCTTTCAGGTTAATCTTGAATAGTTGTAGTCACAGTAGCTAAAGTATCCAGGAGCCAACCGCTTCCTTAATCTAGGTAAGACTTAAGGACCTCTGTCCTTAATTTAGGTAAGAGCTTGACTCAGAAAATGCTTCCAAGTTGATTTCTTACACAAAGGAGCTAATTTCTGGATTTATTTATTTATGCTAAGTGGAGAGGGTACTTTACTCATAAATATTAAGAATTAAAAAAAATTTGTGAATTGGACTAATAAAACTCTTTAACCTTAATGATCTTACTATATCCATAGCATTTTTTTGAATAGTAATTCAGTTGGCACAGTGTCAGAACTACCCAGAGAATATTGCAAATCATCCACTATCTTTTAAATTGCACATAGTCTGGTGAAATGCCATGTGCTACTATTATCTCATAGAAATGATTCCTTCAGATTTTTAACTAAATATATTTATAAAGTTTTTAAAATGATTTCAACATGGAATAGTAATAATCATGCATGATATCAGTTTTTGGAATGACTACAAAAATATTACATAGTGGTGGTAATAATAAAATAACAGTGAAGATTTACTACAGTCTTATATGCCAAACATAGCTACAAATATTATCATAACTAATTTACTCTTCAGAGTTGTCCTGTGACACAGGACTGTTAATGCCTTTATTTTGTGTGGATAAGGAAATCAAGGCAGTTTGTCCAAGGTCACATTGCCAGTACGTCAGTGGAATTCAGAGTCGGTCCACACTGTGTGACTCCAGAGCCCACACTGCTGTCCACTGGCTGCTGCTCTCATTTGAAAGAGGGGAAAAATAACCTCATAGCAGCACAAATATCCAGGTTTTAGATTGGATTCAAGCATGGATAAATATTTCTATGGTCCCAGGATGTCTGATGGTCTTTTGAGGAAAGTCGTCATCTGATGAGCTCGTTTGGGTGCTAAGCTGCAAGCTTTCTGCTTCACTGGGGGAGCAGTGTGAAGCTTACAGGGCTTGAAATGGAATCCTTCCATATATTAAAAGTGACTTTGGTGCTCATGTTTCTATTTTGAAAAGACAAATATCTCTCCACATTTATTCTGATTCTGGATAGAACCCATTGGCTTGTAGACATTTTCTTGGATCTCTCCTCTTGTTTGATTCCCTGTTCAAAAACATCTTCACTTTCTTTGGGTGCAATCTTCTTTCTCCAAAAGGAAAAATATATTGTTTTCTGCATGCTGTCCCTAATCAGAGAGCTTGCCTAATCCGAGGTCCTTGCTCTCTTGCTCTCCTGGCTGCACAAACCATACAACTCCCTCCTGTACTATGGATTTCAGCAGTGTTGCTCAACTGAAACCCACTTTTTTTCCAAAGTGCCAAGCTTGGCTAATTTATGGCTTTGCTGCAGTATGCTAATGAGTGCTCAGTCTTCCTATGTAGCCCACCATGTGGATAGGTTTTCTCCCCCAGTGCCCCAGTCCTTGCTTACTTGGAATGCATTTTCTTTCCCTTTTAAAAACTTTAGGGGCTGGAGTAATAGAACAGCTTGTAGGATATTTGCTTGCACATAGCCGACCCAGATTTGACTCCCAGCATCCCTTATGGTCCCCTGAGCACTTCCAGGAGTAATTCCTGAGTGCAGAACCAGGAGTAACCCTTGTGCATTGCCAGGTGTGACTCCCCACAACAAAAAAAAATTATATTCCACAGGCATAGTACAGCAGTTAGTATGCATACTAGACACTCAGGTTGAAGTCCCAGCACTATGTGGTCCCTCATCACAGGTGTAGCCCTGCGGGTCCCTGACACCATCAGTGTCACTCTGAGTATCCTTGGCACCACAGGGGTCAGGCAGCATTGCATCCTCAGGCCCTTGTACTGAACTAGCAAGTGGCTCAGTTGATTGAAAATTGCTGGTGTGACCACTGGTCCTCCTGAGCACTGCTTGGATTATAATTAAAATTAAGTCAAAGATATTGGCAAGTCAAACATCTACCAATATTTTCTTTTTCACTACCAAGTACACTGTTGCTATCAAGTACACTTAGAATTTGCGCATGGTGGAAATGTTATGTAAACTGCTCTCTTTTAAAGTGGTTTTAAACTGCCTGAAATATGAGAGGGAGTCTGTAAATATTTTGCTAAACAGGATAGAAGCCATGTCTAATCTTGGTTTCCCAGTTCGACTTTGCTGCTGATGGAAAATGTTTTATTTTGGTTAAGTCAAACTTACTAAATCATTGGTGTTGTCTGAAGAACCATTTCCAGGCTTCTTCATAACACCTTTCTTATCCATACCTCCCCAAAATCTCCTTTTCTGGGCTGTAGCCTCTTCCTTTAATCCAAAATACTTTCAGTTTTGCAACCTGGTCCTTGGTTGGTTTTAGGTGATAGTTGATCTCACTATCTCAGTAATGGTTTCTCTTTTGGTTCATTTATCTTGAAGATTTTTTTTAAGATATGTCATTTTCAGTATTTATTTTTTTTAAATTTATTGTGGGTTTGGTTTGGGCCATACCCAGAGTTGTTCAGGGCTTATTCCTGGCTCAGGGATCATTTCTGGTGATGCCCAGGGGACCACATGCAGCTTTGGGCATTGAATCTGAGTCTTCCCTAGAGCCTAAGGCCCTGTGACATCTGGCCCCACGATTTTTTTTTAAATCCAAATTCACAGTCATGGTCACGGTCCTCCTGTTGTTCATCAATTTGCTCGAGCGGGCCTAGTAATGTCTCCATCGTGAGACTTGCTGTTACTGTTTGGCATATTGAATATGACACAGGTAGCTTGCCAGGCTTTGCCGTGTGGGCGAGAAACTCTCAGTAGCTTGCCGGGCTCTCTGAGAGGGGTGGAGGAATTGAACCCGGCTCGACTGGGCCGGTTGTGTGCAAGGCAAACTCCCTACCACTGTGCTATGGCTCCAGCCCAAATCCAAATTAGCTTCTCAAATACCTACAATAATTTTACTAATAATATCATATATTGGCTAACAGGAAACTTTGCCATTTGTATGTGATTTTAACCTAACCTCATTCTTGTATCTAGTGGGAATTAGTATCCTTATTCTCCTAGGGAAGAAGCAGGCTTAGGATTCATGGTGCTGGAGCTGGGGAGAATGGGATTCCCTGGGATTCACCTAGTCCACACGCCTCCCTTAGTCCTTCAGGTAGTCATTCCCAGTTCATTTTAGAGTGAAAAAGCTCACTGATACTTCTGCCACCAAACTAACTATGGGGGATCCCTTAAATTTTGTCATTACCCTTAGAAAGAAAGGGATAGACATAGAAAGATTGCATTCATCTGGGGAACATAAAGTAACAGAATAGAAGACTAACACCCAAGAATGGCCGAGATTAGTACCAGGAATTTTACTCCATGGCTTGGAAGCTAACCACACATACTAGGGGAAAAGGGAGCACCAAATAAAGGTGTTGGGAGGATCCTCCCAGGATGGGAGAAGCATGCTGAAAGTAGACTGTAGACTAAACATGATTGTCACCCATTGCCTCTTTTGCAAACCACAATACCCAATAAGAGAGAGAGAACAAAAGGGAATGCCCTGCCACAGAGGCAGGGTGGGATGGGAGGGATGGGGGGTGGGAGGGATACTGGGATCCGTGGTAGTGGGAAATGGGCACTGGTGGAGGGATGGGTATTTGATCATTGTATAATTGAAACCCAAGCACAAAAATGTGTAAGTCTGCTGTAGCTCATGATGTCTCACTATTAAAAAAATTTTAAAAATAAAAATTAAAAAAAAACTAAAAAAAAATTTTGTCATTACATACTTTTTTTGAAATCTAAAAAAAAGTTTGTATTTCTTTTTTCATGCCATAGCTTCTGAATTAATTTTGAAGGGGACTTTTTAGCAATAGGATATATGTAATTTGTCTTTTTTTTTTTCAAGATAAAATATGTAGTTTTAGAATAGCAAAGTGTGAAGCACTATTTAAAAAAAAATGGTGTAACAAAAATTTTTTATCGAAACTACCAAAGATTATTTCTTAGAAAGATTTCATTTTGGGACGTCAAGCAATTTGGGGCCATACCTGGTCATGCTCAGGAGCTATGCTCAAGTGTAATCCCTGGCAGTTCTCAGGTGACCATTAAGTAGTGCTGAGGATTTGAACCAAAGTCAAAGGGATTCAAAGCAAACGACTCGCCTTCTTTACTATTTATATGGGGAGAGTCAAAATTAGAGCTTTTGATCTTCATGTACTCTTAATATTGTTACTTTTTCCTTATCAAGTGTTTTATTCTGATGCATTATTTTTTTAAGTTACTACTCTGTGAGTACAGTGAGAAAGTTAAGAGCATAAACAGGTTGTTAAGCAGGCAGCTAAGGACCAATCCTCTGAGTGACCTCTTCTGGGAACCCAGCAAAGATGAATAGGTCATAAATCATAAGTTATGATTTAGAACAGACCAACCTGTTATCTAGGCAGGAAGAGTGAACCGGGCCTCTGAAACAATTAGTAAACTAGTGTCTATATGGATCTTAAAATAGAATATACTAAACACAAAGATTCCTAGTACAATGGGTAAGGTACTTGCCTTGCTTGTCGCTTTTAAGTATCCCCCTCCTGCAGGGTAAACTGGGTGAAGTAACCAATAAAAAAAACTCCATTCTTATGTCCTTCTTCTCTTTGATCAGCGAAGCTCCTATAAAAAGTATTCTGAACCCCTATTCAGGACCACAGTTTCAGGTGATTGCTTCCTTGGATTCATTTTGATGTTAAATAACTAACTCTCCTTGCTTTCTCACTGAAAATGGTCTGTGTCATTGATTAAGCAAACTCTGTGATGGCAAACTCTGTTATGGCAAACTCTATGTAGTCTAGATGTCTTAGTAAGCATTCACCCCAGATTAATCTTGGGTCTGTTGAATACACCCTTTGGTTACTGTGAAATAGTAAAAGAGAGTAGATTTGGGGTCAGAGAACTGGATTTCAAGTTGGTTTTACCCAGAATTTGCTAGGCATTATTTTGAACAAGTTATCAGTCTGGAGTTGTGGGATTAAGTTTTCAGAGACAACAAAGTGGCATTTTCATAATCATCTTTGAATATCTTGTAGTAAACCACAGACGTCTTAGTGGTGCCCACGACATACTGGGGATTCCCCTGTGCTTCTCAGAATGGAAAGTGCTCTCCATGCCTTTCGAAAGGATTCCAGGGCTCTTGGTTTATGGTTTAGAACTGACTTTTTAAAGTGTCTGAAGAGTCTGCAGTTTATTTTAATCCCAAATTTTGTCAAGGAGTGAGGTATAGAGGGGAGAGGCAGAGCACACAGTGATCCTTATATCCCAAGGCCAGTCTAGGCTGGGGATTTTAGCTGAATTCAGGACAATTACGGTCTAAATTCTGTTTACACTTGGTCAAACAGTACTTCCTGTGTCTAAAGAAAAGAACCTTAACAAGGTTTGGACATTGCCCATACAAATGTTTTGTAAGAGGGAAGTATAAATGAGTCGGAAACCTTTCCAGATTAGATTTCCCTTAAAATACCCTCAAGCTCAAAGATTGAAGGGAAAGTACTTGGCAGGGCCTGGTTTGGACCTGTGACCAGCTGGGACACTCAGCCAGGTCCCTGATGGCCACCAGATTGTGCTGTCCCTGACATCTAGCCCCTGAGACCAGTTTTGCCTTCCCATAGGAGATGTGACATTTGGACAATTCTGTAGCTTTAATGCAGCATTTTAGGCTAACTCTAAATTTACTGAATTTAAAAGTTCAGTCCTTCGGACCTGAACTAGACTCTGCCTTTATTTTTGAGCCTTTGGGGATAAAAATTAAAATGCTTGCCTTGGGGACAGAAAAACAATACAGGGATTAAGGTATGTGCCTTGCATGTGGCTAACCCTGGTTTGATTCTCAGGACCAGATGGTCTCCCAGGCCTCACCAGATACAGCCCTGGAGGTTCCTGAGCACCGCCGGGGTGACCCAATTAATCATTGACTCAGGATACCTAAAGTCCTTGGGTTGCCTGATGGGTAGAGCAATGCTGGGAAGGATCCCTGTGCCTTCTGAGTACTACATAGGAGACCCCCACCAAATAAAAAAAAACATTTGAAAAGCCTGCCTTGCATGTGATGCACTATTATATTGGGGACCTTGCCTCTTGGCATTTTATTTATTTTGGAAAATCTACTTTAGGTGCATGGTATGCTTTTTCTCTCCCAGAGACTTACAGGAGGTTGAAAAGACTTATTCATCTGTATTGGAATTTTCCAGGCTGGCATTTGAACTAAATAAGCTACTGTCACCATCCATATCAAGTTTAAATGGAAAACGGTCTCTTTCTTCAAGGTGACTATGCTGCTTTTGTAATTAGAAAGACTGTATAAGTATTACTGAAAATGAAGCAGCATTTCTCATCAGAAGTGTCATCTTGGCATGTTTCTTTTGGGTCCAAGCTAACTCACTGAGCCTGGGAGATGCTAACTTGTTTCTGAATTGGTCTTTCTGTTCTTTTTGTAGGTGTCTGTGACCAAGGCCGATCAAGAACTAGGATTTGCCATCCAGACATGCTTTATCTCTCCATATTCCAATCCTGATAGGATGTCAGATTATACTATCATTGAGAACATTTGTCCTAAGGATGAATCCGTGAAATTCTATAATCCCAAGAGAGTGCACTTTCCTATTTCACAAGCCGAGGTGGATAAGAAGCGATTCAGCTTTGTGTTTAAGCCCATCTTCAACACCTCACTGCTCTTCCTGCAGTGTGAGCTCACGTTGTGTACCAAGAAGGAAAAGGACCCCCAGAAGTTGCCAAAGGTTGGTGGGCTTAAATCATTTGCACCATGATTCTGACATGTTTCGGGGTGGGGTGGGGATGTGGGGGGTGACCTACCGGAGAGACAAATTACTGCAGGTTGAAGTTTTGGGGTTTGGGACAGCCCAATTTAAGTAATAAAGTCCGTGTTAGCAGGGAACTGTAGAGTTCTATGGAGTGAGGGAATAAATTCTGATAGTGTGATTATTTTTTCCATGCATGCTACTTAGTTGTATCTTACAGAAGATAAGTCAAGACTGTTTTCCACTGAGGGATAGGGCTGACTTTATCTTTGCTATTCAGAAAGTTTGTGGTGCCAAATGTACAGAGAACTGAAAGGACAAGTTCAGTGTGAGGATTAATTTTTCCAGATCCCGCTGAGACTTGTATTGCAATTGTTTTTTTGACCTTCTTCGTGTGAATTATAAGGTTAAGTTGTCTCAGGAGAACTTCTAAGGGAAGCCACAGATATTTTAATTTTTCTCAGTTTCATATTGATTCATCATGTTTGTCTCATGTCACTCCCCTTACTAAACCAGTACACCGTGTAGTCACAGCAAATATAAGAACCCTTTGATCTTACTGTCTGGGATTGTTCAGGGTTAACATAGTACCTCATTGACTGGAGTGGTGCACTATATTCTGTCATGGTTTGGTTCAGATTTGCCATTATTACGTTTCATTTCAAAGTGCATTTTTTTCTGTTAATATCTTCTGATGTAAACTGACTTCTAATCCTTTTGTTACCACATATTACTACCTAAAGTTCTAATAACCATGCTGTATCATTGGCAGTGTGTTGTAAACATGTAATTCTTTCATTGTGTAGGTTGTAAGAGAGGTGTAGAGGTGGGAGAACACAGATGGAGGATGGATGATCAAATCCTTTCCACTGTTACCTTCCCACGGACACTTATTTCTCTGATAACACCAAAGAAAATTTATAACATGAGTATACAAATCTGTTCTGAATCACTGGAATGTTTTTAGTATATATAGTGTATATGTGTGTGTATACATACTATACATATATAGTTATTTTAGATTGTGTTCTTTGGGCTTTTAGTTGCCTTAGCCTGTGAGCATTCATCTACCTGTGGTTTTCAGTGGACTGTGACAGTGAACCCTGGGAAAGCTAATGCTTGGAGTGGGACCTAAGTGCTTCCTGCAGAGGATAATTTGTAGGAGTGAAGGATCTCAGAGAGGAGACTTGCCCCTTACCTTTCTCTGAGTTTAGAGCAGCACAACTTTATATGTGTTAATCTGTTCAAATTAATCTCGATGTTTCCTTCCAGAACATTCTAAGGTGAATTCTTAACTCCCTGTGGGGGGGGGGGGTGGGGGGTGAGGTAACATGTTTTTTTGTTGTTGTTTTTGCCTTTTGGGTCACACCCAGCAATGCACAGGGTTACTCCTGGTTTATGCACTCAGATATTACTCCTAGTGGTACTCGGGGGACCATATGGGATGCTGGGAATCGAACCCAGGTTGGCCACATGCAAGGCAAATGCCCTACCCGCTGTGCTATCACTCCAGCCCCAAGGGGGTGGGTGACATGGAATGTGACTCTAAACCTAAAGTCATTTTTTATACCAGAACAACAGAAAATGGAAAGAGCTTGGGGACAGAGAAGGAGGAGCTCCTGCTTACTTTAAGCGTGACTGGACATCTCAGATTCAGCATTTCTTCATCTATTAGATTGAAATAATAGTTCCTGGCCCCCTCCTGGGTTGAGGAGTAAATGAGATAGTTGAAAGCCTAGCGGTTATTAAACAGCATCTATTACTATTATTCCCCTATCATTAGCATTTCCCTATTTCCAGTGACATATTTCTATGATAATAGGTACATAAAAGAATTTTCTAGTTAGAAGTCTCAAAGATGCTTGAAACTATCTCTGACTGTCTGAAATATCTAATGAAACTGAGGCCAGAGAGTTAAATGCTTTGCCTGGCCAGGGTAAGACAGTGAGTTAGACACAGAAACTCAGACTCCGCTAGTAGGAAAGTTAAGAAGGCTGTTCCTAAAATGCAAATCTATTCAGCGATGATGCCTTGCCACAGAAAAACTATTGTTTCCCCTCTACTGGAAGGAAATTGTAAATGTTTTTGCTTTTCCCCTTTGGTGGGGCAGGGACTAAGGGAAGAAGTTGTTTTCTTATCTAAGCAAAGGGCAGCCAGGACAAAGCCAAAACTCTTTGAAGTTTTGATCTTTTGTGATTGAAAGAGCTAGAAGCAGGTACTTTTCAAATGTTTCCAGGTTGCTGTTTTTTTCCTTCCAACAAAAGAGAATGGTTGTGATTTATATGTCTTTCACCTACTGACCAACAAGATAAGGAACCAAAATTATTATATTTTGCTCGAGCGGGGCCCAGTAACGTCTCCATTGGAGACTTTGTTGTTACTGTGTCTGGCATATCGAATACTCTCGGTAGCTTGCCGGGCTCTCCGAGAGGGGCAGAGGAATCGAACTCGGGTCGGCCATGTTGGCCGCTTGTAAGGCGAACGCCCTACCCACTGTGCTATATTTTAAGCATTTTTATTGAAGGAGCAGACTTCTGTTAATTATACTTTTTGTGGCTACATCATTTATACCATGCCTACTCCAAAAAACCTGCTTCCTCCACCAGTGTCCCAAGGACATTCCCACCTCATATGAGCTTTAGACAGAATCTTCAGTTCTGATGACTTTGGTCATTTGTGGTTTTTAAATTTTTTTTTAATCTCATTTTTTTTTGTTGTTGTTGTTTGGGTTTTTTTTTCTCTTTTGGGTCACAACCAGTGATGCACAGGGGTTACTCCTGGATCTGCACTCAGGAATTACTCCTGGCGGTGCTCGGGGGACCATATGGGATGCTGGGAATCAAACCCGGGTTGACCGAGTGCAAGGCAAACACCCTATCCGCTGTGCTATCACTCCAGCTCCTCATGTTTCTTTTTTCATATCATATTGGAACCCAAATTATTTTTAAGGACAAAGTTATTTCGGAGTGTGGAAATCCCCTCACCTTCCTAATGCTGTCCATAAAGTTTCCCTCAATCACATATCACAAACAGGAACCATTTGTGGGGGTGGGTGCCTGCTTGGGGAGGGCCCACATTCATCATATAGGATTTTTTGTTTGTTTTTCAGATTAAATAGCACTGAAATCTCTAGTTGTTTTGTGGGCAGATGGTGGGGTGAGGGGTGGGGGAGACAGTATTCCTAAACTGTCCAGTGATGGTTGTGTTCCTTAAGTGCAGCTGGGGGAAGGCAGAGCCTGCCATGCTATCTTACAGATTTTTTGTGCTTCTTTGAAAAACACCCAAATCCGGTTTTTCTGGGGTAAACAGCTGGGAACTGTCTGGTGGGGGAGAGGGGAGGTGCAGGACAGCTGTGCATGACCCTGGAATCTGTGCTTTGCTGTCTCTGCAGTGCGTGCCTCCGGATGAAGCCTGCACTGCGCTGGATGCCTCCATGATATGGGCCATGATGCAGAACAAGAAGACATTCACCAAGCCCCTTGCTGTGATCCACCATGAAGTGGATCACATTAAAGGTGTGTACCCTAAAGAGGCAGCCAGAGATGAGACTCCTTAACAAAGCTCCAAAGGTGTCAGCCCAAGGACAGGCTCCATTCCAAAGATAAAATTAAGGGCTCATTAAGAACTGTAGAAAAGGTTTCCTTTGGGGGAGGAGTCCTTCATTTAGTTGCCTCTGGGCTAAATTATAACACATTTGCAAATGATTTCCTCTATAAGTATCTGATTAATGTCAAGTCACCGTGTCACACTCTCTTGAATTTGAATGTGCTTCCTTGAGTGTGTTTCCTCCAAGCTTTCTGAACCTGCATTCAGCCCTCAGCCTTTCTTTCCTTGATCATCAGGTTTTAGTGCTCCTTGAAGGTCTCAGATGCCTCTGGGGCAGATATGATGTGAAAAATCACATGTCTTGGGTATCACATAGGAAGAAGGCCTTCCTAATGCATTTTTCATATTTCACTTTTCAGAATTTCACACCATCAGGATTATTGCTTGAAGCCAGCAATCACTCTTTCTACACAGGGGGGAATAGTGAGCAACTGTAACTTTGGGAAGCAGAGGAAGGGGCAAAGGAAGTGTGTTCCCTGCAAGGTGTGGCCTGAGTACAAGGGAGGGCAGAGCCAGACATGGCATAGACCAAGCCCTCAAACACATGTAGAGGCAAAGATGGGCTCCGGGAGTTATTAGAGCAAATATGTGACCCTGTGGACTGTGAGCATTGCTGCTTGGACTATAGGCATGAGCTCCCAGGGCATCAACAGCTTCGAACACACTCAGCAGCTGTCACCATCTGAGGGACTGAAACCAAATGTTGTATGGGCTCTCTGGGCAATTGCAGTTGTCACTGTCTGGAAACAGCCTCTGACTGTCTAGTGACTTTGCTGCCTAAGGGCCATCAAGCTAATGGGATGACTGAGAACCTGTAAGTGGATTCCAAGCCTGAGGTTGTTTAGGGCCAGTGACTTAGTGCCTTCCACACCCAGAGCCTAGAGGAGCCTGATGCAAAGGTGGCCTGACTTCAGTGGAGGGTGTTGTGTGGAGAGGGGTTTGGGGAGACACTTTCTGGGGACCTGCTAGACCAAGGGTGCAACCAAACGCATTTCTGAACTGAGAATGATTACATTTGATGGAACTAGGCAGTAGGGGGTTTCTGTGTCCAACATAACTAGCAAAACAGGCCATTGCTATCCTGTTTCCTACTTGGTGAGTGACTGTCTTCCTATTTGATATTGGCATTTGCACCCTTTCTGGAAGCTTGCTCACTTCCAAAAGGCAAGAAGATGGTGTGGGAAGGTTGCTGGCAAAGGGCCGAGAGCACTGTTCTCAGTGGTGATACACTGGGATTTGTGCCCTTGGGTTGCATTTTCTTTGTTCCAAAAGAAGTGGGTGACTTTGAAGAGAGTTCTTTTAGCTGCAACACTTTGCAATATGGATTGTAGAAACAACCACAACAAAAAATTTATTTCCCAGCCATCTTTACGTTGATGTGATAGATATTTAGATTTTATTTTATTCATTCCCCAGCAATTTTTTTTTAATCCCAGCAATACTTTTGTTTTACTTTTACTGGTTAGCTTTCAGCTGTTTGACATAGTTACAACAACCACACTCTTTCTATAAATGGAATTGCCTAAGTAGAGTTCTTTGTTTACTGGGACCAGGAGAAAGAAGTAAGAATGAATGGATCGTGTTGCAAAGTACATCACAATTGGGCAGGCTGGCTCTGTTTTGTACTGTGGAAGTGGTTTAACAATAGTACTAGCTACCTCGCACTCCATCTGCTACTTCTACCTATTTTGAGAGGTAATTCTACTGGTAATTGAAGGCAGCCGCTTGCTTTTTCCTATGCCAGACAATAATCAGGCATTAATATTGCAGCAGTATAACTTCCAGTAATTCATTCATTCATTCTTTTAAGTCCCCTGGTATATTTCTAAGTAATTCCTCTTGTAAATTAGGAAATTGCTTTTATTTAAACTTGATATAATTATCTTAAAAATCCACTGTTTTCTTACATAAAAGTTCAAGAGGAAACGTTTACCAAGTATCAAAGCAATTGCTTGAGATTTGCTAATTGAGACTAGATTTTAGTGGGGAACCATGTGGTGAAGAAAGTTTATTGCTTAGGTTTGTTAAACAAATTGAGGAGGTTCGCCCTTAGGCTGGGTTCCTGGGCTGTGTGCACATCTACTTCCTAACTTCCCACTGAGTGGCATAGACTAATGAGAGTCTGCTTTCACCTCTCATGTTTATTTTCCTTTAACACCCTTTCTCCTCCGCCTTGCCAGCCAGTGGATCTCTGCTTTCCTTCTGCCTCTCCTTGAAATGGAATAGCCATCTAAAAAGGGAATGTGGTTCTTGCCTCATTGCAGTGGGTTATGTGAATAATAACAGGATCACCAAGGTTCTTACTGGCAGACTGCTTTGTACTTTGCTATATATAGTAAGATATAGAAGCGGGCAGATCTCTTGTTGGGATTAACTTTTACCCATTGGGAAGATTAATGGTATGTGTGACTTTACTTATATCGGAGCTTTTTGAAGACTCAGTCCAGCTCTCCAAGATCCTTTGGTTCATCTTCTCAGCCCTTCTGTTTTCTGAGAAACAGATAAAGGCTGTGGTGATCTCCCTCACTGCCTCCTAGAACTCTCTTCGTCACAGGCATATTTCAGATGCTATTTCTCCTGCCTGTGCTCAGGGAGAAGTCGTGAAGGCTGAAGGAATAATTCTGAGTCCCTCCTCTGGGTCACTTTTTTGGTTCTTTGTTTGTTTGTTTGTTTGTTTTAGGTTTTTTTTGTGGGGTTTTTTTTTTTTTTTTTTTTTTTGCTTCTTGGGTCACAACCAGTAATGCACAGGGTTTACTCCTAGCTCACCCACTCAAGAATTACTCCTGGCAGTGCTTGGGGAACTATATGGGATACTGGGAATCGAACCCGGGTTGGCTAAATGCAAGGCAAATGCCCTACCTGCTGTGCTATCACTCCAGCCCCCCTGGGTCACTGTCTTAATGAACTATCCCTTAGTTTTCACCACACATCTTTGCCACATCTGATCTTTTAGTTCTGAGGGAATCAGTGTAAGGGTAATATTCTCTCACTATTTTAACTTGCAGTGATAGGTGATGGTGATGGCGAAAATGGAAACCTTGTCGGTTATCTATCATTTATTGAACATTTTACTTAGTTGAGGTTCTGAGCTGACTAATCCGAACGTATTTATCCTCAGAGCCGTCTGTAAAGCGGATATAGAGTGAGGTTCAGTAACTTGGCCATATACATTCCATATACAAGTGGTGACTCTGGGCTTCCAGTCCAGGCGCTCAGAGCTCATAGCCTTGACTTCGAAGCCCTGTGTCTTATCCTAGGTCGAATTTGATTACTGGTTTTTTTTCAATGATTTCTTTTTTCTAGTTCCGTGCCCTTCCTCCCTTTGTTGTTGTTGATGTGTTACTATGGTTACGGTCTTGAATAGTTGGCTTGCACACTGTGTTAGCTGTGCTGCTTACTAGGAGAGGCTCAGCAGGTTTTGACGCTCACACACTCTGCTACAGTGCTCACCACCGCTGTTAGCTAAGGTAGCGGGGCAAGTACTCTTAGTTGAGATACCCAGAAACATAAATTTCAGGTATACCCAGTTATGATTGCAGTACTCATTGGGGGGTGCTGGAGGCCCGTGCCTTAGGTCACACTGCCCTGGTGTTCACACATATTTTTATAATTGCAGTGCTCACCAATTACCCACCCCCCTCCATTTATGAGTTCACACATATTTGACTGTGGTACAACTGAAAATTACTTGTGATACCAGAGATTTCAGAGAGCAGAGCTGCCTGGATCATGTGTGATGCATGTGGGACACCAGGGATTTGAATTGTTGACTGTATACATTAGACAGGTGCTCTGAGTTTCTGTGCTGTTCCTACTGGGATGCTTGTGGGCCACTCCCAGCACTGCACAGACAGGTGGGTAAGCCTCACAAGGTCAATGTTCAGGCTCAGTGGGATTCAAGGACCACCAAGGCTGTACCTCCTGGTGCTGCCAGGCCTTGGGAGCTGGGAATCAAAATCAAGACATCACGTTTGCTAGGAATGTATGCTGTGCCACTTGGGATAGCTCCCAGGTCCTTAATAGATTTTTATTGAGGTAATAATTGGTTTATGACCTTCCATAAATTTCAGGTTACCGCATTGTGATTCAGTATCTGTGTACCTTACATTATGGTGGCTACCCAAACTCTTAATTCCCATGGATTCCAGGTTTAAATAAAAATGACAAGACACTTAGGCATCTCTCTCTTCACACCCCCCTCCCCTGTTCAGGTCATATGTCACATTGGCATTCTAGTTAAAACCCAAATATTTTAATTTCTGAAGGGTAAGTAAAAATGGGGGGAGAGGGGGCAGGAAATCTGTGCCCCCAAAGGGTTAAGATGCTGGGAAACATGTAAAGTGTTTGAGAGAAGTTCTGTGAATTTGGTCTATTGACTCACAAAAAACCCCAGAAAATATGAATAGCTATGCATATTATGGTTTACTGCAAAGCAATTAAATAGTTGAGGTGGTGCCATCCTACCATATTTTCTGAAATATTTTGATATAAGCATGTCAGGGTTGTTTGCTTTGGATGCTGTGACTTCTTTTTATGGCATTTGAGAATACTTGGGCTTACATAATATATATAGTTACCCACATTAATGATGAGGATTTTTTTAATGGGGAAAGAGAAGAGTAGTCATGTCTCTGAAACTTGGGGCACATACCCCCTCAATTGGGTACAAAAAATAAATGTTGCTTCCAGATCTGCCATGATTCATAGATAGTATATAATTAAAGTTAAAACTATTTTTAAAAACTTGGTTTTCTTTCTCTCTATCCACCACATAATTTTGAAAAACGTACATATGTGCTCAGGAAAGCACCTGGCATATCACAGCAGTTCAGTAAACGTTCATTTCCTTTCCTTCCTCTTAACTTCTCAGCCAAACAAGGTTTTTTAAGGGGAAGAGAGGGAAGTGGAA